CCAGACCTGAAACGCTCAGCTTTCCTGCTCCTCTGGTGCTGCTTGGCCTGCTGTGTCCATCCAGCTCTACACCTTGTTAACACCAACTTCATGTTGTACTACTCAACAAGAGTCATATTTGACTTGGGAGTGCTGACTCTGCTTTTTGTTCTAAATTTGTTCATGTGATGTGGGCATTGTTGCTTACTGTCCATCCCTAATTGCCCTGTTGAAGGTGCTGGTGAGCTGCCTTCTTGAACTGTTGCAGTTCTTTGGATGTAGGAACATCCATAGTGCTATTAGGAAGGCAGTTCCAGAATTCTGACTCAGCGACACTGAAGGAACAGCAATATATTTCCAAGTGAAGGTGGTGAACGGCTTGGAGGAGAACTCGCAGGTGGTGGTGCTCCCATCTATTTGCTGCCCTTGTCCTTCTAAATGGTGGAGGTCAGGGTTGAAAAGTGCAGTCAAAGGAGACTCGGTGAATTGCTGATGTGAATCTAGTAGATAGTACACACTGCTGCTACTGTGTGAAGGTGGTAGCCAGCATACTAATTAAGTGGGCTGCTTTGGCCTGCATGGGTCAAACTTCTTGAGTATTGTTGGAGCTGCACTCATTGAGGCAAGTGGGGATTATTCGGTCATACTCCTGATTTTTGCCTCATAGATGGTGAACAGGTTTTAGGGAGTCAGGAGGTGAATTATCTTAAGATGCCTAGTCTCTGATGTGCTCTTGTACCCTCCTGTACTGTATTTATTTGTGGCTAGTTCAGTTCAGTTTCTTGTCAATCGTAACCATTAGGACATTGACAGGGGAAGAATCAGTGGTGGTAAATCCATTAAACTTCAAGGAGTCATGGTTAAATTCTCTCTTGTTGGAAATGCACATTGCCTGGCATTTATGTTGTTGTTTCCCACTGACAGTCCAAGCCTGGATATTGTCCAATCTTGTTGCAATGGACATAGACTGCTTCGCTATCTCAATAGTTATGAATGGTGAACATTGTGCAATCATCAGCAAACATACCCACTTCTAATTTTATGATGGAGGGTAGAACTAGATGAAGCAGCTAGTTGGCCTAAGACACTTCCTTGAGGAACTCCTGCAGAGGTGTCCTGGAGCTGAGATGGTTGATCTCCCATAATCACAACCATCTTCCTATGTGCCAGGTGTGACTCCAATCAACAGAGAGCTTTTCCCCTTAAGTCCCTTTGATTTCAGTTTTGCATGGGCTCCTCGACGTTACATTAATTCAAATGCAGATTTGATGTCAAGGACAGTCACTTTCATCTCACGTCTTCAATTCTGCTTTTTTTTAGTCCATATTTGGACCAAGGCTGTAATAAGGGCCAGAGATGAGTGGCCCTAGCAGAAATCAAATTGAACTTCAATAAGTAGGTTATTGCATTATAAGTGCTGCTTGATTGCACTGTCGATGACACCTTCCATCACTTTGCTGATGATCAAGAGTAGACTGATGGGCTAGCAATGGGCTGGATTGGATTAGTCCGCTTTTTGTGCACAGGACCAACCTGGGCAATTTGCCACATTGCCTGGTAGATGTGTTTGGCTGCGTTGAAAGAGGCTAGCTCGGGCAGGGCAAGTTCAAGAGCACAAGCCTTCAGTACTATTGCGGAATATGCTCAGGATCCATCCTGTTTGCAACATCCATTGCCTCCAACCTTTACATGGAATGAATTAGATTGGCTGAACTCTGACATTTATGATGCTGGGGACCTCCAGAGGAGGCCAAGATGGATCATCCATTCAGCACTTCTGGATGAAAGTAGATGGCAATGATTCAGCCTTGTCTTTTGCACTAATGTGCTGGGCTCTCCCAACAACAATGAAAGGGATGTTTGTGGAGCCTCCACCTTCAACATGTAGCTTAATTATCTACTACCATTCACGGCTGGATGTGGCAGCCATGCATCTGATCTATTGATTGTGCGATTGTTAAACCCTGTCTATTGCATGCTTCCTCTGCTATCTGGCATGCAAGGCATGTTGTGTTGTAATTGCATCAGGGTGACATCTTGATTTTATGTATGCCTGGTGCTGCTACTGCTGGTATACCCTCTGCACTCTTCATTGAGCCAAGATTGCTCCCCTGGTTTAGTTGTAATGGTAGAGGAGGGCATATGCCAGGCCATGAGGTTACATGTGTGGTCCTGCTGCTGATGGCCTATAGCACTTTGTGGATGCTCAATTTTGAATTGTTGGGTCTGTTCAAAACCTGTCCCAATTAGCACAGTGGTAATGCCACGATGGAGGGTAGCCTCAATGAGAAGATGGGACTTTGTCTCCTTAAACACTATGCAGTGGTTACTCCTATAGTTACTGTCAAGGATAGATGCATCCACGACAGGTAGATTGGTGAGGACAAGAATGAATATGTTTCTCTCTCTTGTAGGTTCCCTCAGCACCTACCACAGACCCAAATTAGTAACTATGTCCTTTAGGTCTTGATCGATCAGTAGCAGTGCTGCCAAACCACTCTTGATGACAGGCATTGAAGACACCAATCCAGCGTGTATTGTGTGGCTGTCAGCAGCTCAGAGTTTTCTCCAAGTGGTATTCAACATGGAGAATACGGACTCATCAGCCAAGGGGAGGTTATGCAGAAAGCAGCATTTTATTTGCCTGCATATGGCCTGATGCCATAAGTCTTCATAGAATCCACAGTCAATGTAGAGAACTCCCAGGGGAACTCTTTCCCATTGCATATCAGTGAGATAGGACATACACAGAGATGGTGGTATCTGGAACAACGTGTGTAAGACATGATTCCACGAGTATGACCATCTCATGCTGTTACCTCAGACTAGCTTGGGGGTTAATCTGAGACAACTCTTGCAATTCTGGCACAAGCCCCCACATGTTGATAAGGAGGACCTTTCAGATGCGACAGATTGCCATTGATGTGACCAGTGCCTGGGTTGGTGATGGGTGATCCATTCAGCTTCATTTCTTTGATTAGACTTTGTAGCAGCTGTGAGCCCCTTTCAGACAACAGTTAAGAATCAGCCACATTTCAGTGGGTTTGGCATCACATGTAGACCAGACCAGGTAAAGATGGTCAATTTCCTCCTCTAAAAGGACATTAGTGAACTGGATACGGCATTACTACAATCAATAATTTTTTTTTTATTGAATTCAAATGCCATCATCAGCTTTTGTGGGATATGAACTGATATCCCAAAAACATTAACCTGGGTTTCTAAATGGGATGAGCACCAATCCACTACCTCTACAGATGCTATCAGACCTGCTCAACTTGTCCAGCATGTTGTGTTTTTATCTCAACCAAACTCTGCTGGTCACATCCTAACATGCACCAGATCTCATTCACCAATAACCCTGTGCTCGCTTACCTCTACTGGCTTGTGCATAAGCAATGCTTTTATTTTAAGGTTTTCATCTTTTTCAAATCACTCCACACTAACCCTTCTTACTTGGGTAGCTGTATCCAGATACCCATATGTCTGCCATTCTGGTCTCTTGCACGCTACCAATTTTAATTGCACTATCATTGGCATCTTTAACTATTGAAGACCAAAGTTCTGGACCCAAACCCTACTCCTTCTCTATCCCTTTTCTCCACATTGGAAAAAAACTCATTAGGACCTTTCTCTTCGTGTCACCTTTTGGTCATCTACCCAAACAGCTCTTATGATTTGGTATCATATATCATTTGATAATACTTCTCACAACCAATGTCCCTCCTACAGTCCCCAAGGTACAATGCTCTGGGAGAAATAAAAGGCTGATTTTCCAAGGTGCTATGGTCAAATTCTACCCTCCTCCACCATCCACCCAATCTTTCAAATCGGGGAAACCCACGAAACAGTCTCCATCATCAATCAAATGGTTGACTGGCCATTAAGAGAGTTAAGGCTGGACCTCCATTCTCTCAGGAACAGGAAGCCCCGCCTCAGAGAGCTACCAATCAAACAGAGGCTGATGGCTGTACTGAAATGGATGCTCACCTTTGGTAATGCACTTGAGACTTGTGCAGGCATTCAGCACTGGAAGGGATGGGAGGCAGTTTGGGGGTTGTGGTGAGGCAGCTGTGGTTTGGGAGGCTGGGCCGAGGTTGGGGGCGGGGGGTGTTGAGGCATTAACATCTTTGTCTCTGATGGGTTGGGAGGGCCTGTAAATTACGGAGCTCACCCCCACCCCTGCCTGCCATCAACCCATGCAGAGAATCCCATTGAGCTTAGGGAATGTCATGGGCTGCCTTCTCCATCAGTTATGATCCTGAAGTAAGCATTAATTTCAAGCTAGAGTGGCTCAATTGGCAAGCAGGCAGCAGGCAGGACACCCACTAGATTTGAAGTGCCCCCACACCAACCCTGCCACCACCTTCAAACCCACCGAAAGGGGAATGTGAAACCAGCCCAACATGTATCCAAAGCTGTGCAAATAAATTTAAAGGGACCACACACTGAAAAAAAAAGGACAGGATGTAATAATTCAACTTCAAATGGAACATTGCTTGGGACCAATATGCTGAAGGAACTATATAAATGCAAGTTGTTGTTGTTGAAAATAATCAAGGGTCATTTAAAGTTGCGCATTAACGTGTGAACACAACTTCCATTCTCCTATGTCACTGGGATACCCTAACTGAATCAGAATTAACCACCTCCTCGTAGCGGTTAGAATTCCATTAGCTCTCAAGAACAAACAACAGTAAGTCTTTTTACCAAACTGAAGAATAATACAAAGGAAAAATACTGAAACTTCTAGAAATTAAAATAAAAACAGGATATGGGGTGTATACGCTCAACACATTTGATAGTGTCAGTGTCAGGGAAACAGAGTTAGTTTCAAACCAATGACCTGCCATCAGAACAAAGGAAAGCCCAACAACATGAATTCTTAAAACAATTTCTCTCTTCCATGTTGTAGCCAGACCTACTGAACACTTTGAGTTATTTAAGTTTTATTAAAGTGACTGTGTTTTTCTATGGTGAAAGACCTGCATTTATGTGGTGCCTTTCACAGCCACAAGACATCACAAAATACTTTGCAGCCAATAAAGTATTTTTGAAGGGTAGCCATTGTAGTAATGCAGACGTCCAGCCTACTGTATTCTAATACATCAGGTATAAAGTTTAGAATTCAAATTGCCAATTTTACTCATTTCTGCATCAGCTGATAACGTAATAATATTTATTCAGTTATTCATTTTACTTAACGATACAATAGTCACTCTGGACCTCCATTGTTTCTAGTTTTTCACTGTTTTGAAAGTGTTATGATCTATCCTTTGCAGGTCTAAAGTGATAAAAGGAGGTCATAAACCAAACTTACTTTCTTCTTTTTCTTTCTTAAAGTATTTCATGACAGCCAACAGCACTCCTCCGACAGTAAAAGTGATTGCTAGAGACTTCCACGTTACAGGCTACTAAGAAAGAGAAAACATGTCTCAGATAAAACAGAATATTAAACAAAATGATGGCCACAGATTTTAGCATAGTTTAGGAAATAAAAGATATTTATGAATGTTTTCCTCAGCCTTCTGCATATAGGATGTTCTGATCTATTCCTATTCAACTGGGATGTAACATTGCAAGGCAGAAAGTTATTAATGAGCTGCCCCACACCTTCACAGCCACCCTCCACCAACACCCAATAAATTCCATGAAAAGAACAGTCCTTTCAATTAACCAACTTTATTTTATTAAAAAGAAATTTTCAAAGGTTCGCATTTATTTTATACCTTTTGCCATATTAAAATTTCCCAAAGCACTTTACAGACAATGAAGTGGATTTTTAAAATACGTTCAACATTGTAACACAGGAAATGACAGAATTCCCTTCAATGTGGAAGCAGGCCATTTAGCCCATTGAGTCCACACTGATCCTCCAAACAGCATCCGCCTCAGACCATTCCTATCCCTGTAACTCTGCATTTCATATGGCTATTCCACATAGCTTGCACATCCCTGGACACTATGGACAATGTAGCATGGTCAATCCACCTAAGCTGCATATCTTTGGACTGTGGGAGGAAACCCACGCAGATACAAGGAGAAAGTGCAAACTCCACATAGGCAGTGCCCCAAGGGTGGAATCCAACACTCATCCCTGGCGCTGTGAGGCAGTAATGCTAATCACTCACCCATCTTGCTGCCCCAGTGCAGGAACTAATTTGCACACAGTAAGATCCAAAAATAGTATGGTCATAGTGGCCAGTTAATTGCATTTAATGATGCTTATTGACCAGGATGCAATGATAACTTCGCTGTTCTTCTTCATAATAGTGCCATGGGATCTTACATCCACCTTAATGAATACTTCGGACATCAGTTTCACATTTTATTCATTGGGAGCACCTCCAACAATGCAGCACTCTCACAGTGATGGAATAGAGAATCATACCCTGGAATCTTGAGTACAGAGCAAGACTTGACCAATTTAAGTATTTGAAAGAGTTATATATTTATACAAAAGAATGCCCAATCTTTACAAAATAAATCGAGTTAAATGGCTGAGTGGAATATAGTGACAAGATGGGCATGGAAAGTTACATGATTGTCGGGGAATCTGGCTCTGCAGGTGGAGGTTCATGAAAATCCACCCCATCTATTTGGGAGTGAGTGCTCAATCATCATGCCTCTTTTATTCGTCAACATCAACCACAGCCTCACTTACCCCACTCTTTGTCGTTCCACTACTTGGTTTCTTTTCAGATGGGGATGGAGGCATTGTGCTGAAGCAGTGCAGATTGTGAATGGAGAATTTTGTAGACGTCCATATCGGACAAAGATCTTTAGTGAACTGTACAAACATGAAAAACAAAACTTGCAATTACCGAGCAGCTTGCGCATATGCAACACATTCTAAAACAGGTTACAGTCAGTGACAACAAGGTGCAGGGCTGGATGAACACAGCAGGCCAAGCAGCATCATAGGAGCAGAAAGGCTGACGTTTCGGGCCCAGACCCTTCTTCAGAAAAGGGGGAGGGGAAGGGGGTTCTGAAATAAATAGGGAGAGAGTGGGAGGCGGATAGAAGCTGGATAGAGGAGAGGAAACAAACGGGTCGAAGAGGCGGGGATGGAGCCAGTAAAGGTGGGGAGTTAGGGAGGGGAT